ATTTATTACTTCCAATTTCTGAGCTTCCTATTTCAAATAATGCAAAAAGACCCGTACCTAGAAAAAACTTCCAAGCGAGACACAAATAAAACGGTAGATGCAGACAGTGAGACTGTTCATCAAAGTCCGACACAGAAAGTGGAGACAGTGCAAGTGATGGAAGATTAAGTAGAGAGCTTTCGCACCTGCACGTTTAGGCGACCAACTACATTTAGCTATCCGTAACCGTAAAATGACCAACGTTTATTTTTTCGTGATTTCGCAGAAAGACCCGGTTAGCCTTTACAGATAGTCGAATTGTACAGTAGGCTGTTACATGTTTCACGTGCTGTAAAGCCCGCTTTACACTGGACGGCGTCCTTTCTGCGTCCAGCAGTACGGCCCCATTTGAGAGTTAAAAAATTATAATACTTTGCGTGCCGACAACTGGCCGCTCATTGAGCATTCATTCTGATACAGAATCAATGCTCGTGCCTCCTTATTTAGACCACAGCGATGCCAAATTTCATGGTCGCAGAGAGGACGCAGAAAGGACGCCGTCCAGTGTAAAGGGGGTATAAGCAGAGACGTTAAATTAGGTCTATTGGACAGGCTAGGTAATTTTGGAATGGTCTTCCATACGCAATTTATGGAGATCCGGGCTCGGAATCTCGAAAGGTTCGCTATGTTGCGCACACGCTCTAGCATGGCTAGCGTGCGCTATCCCGTATCTCGAAAGAATCGCTATTTTGAGCGCCTGCGCTAGCATGGCTAGCGTGCGCTATCCCATATCTCGAAAGCTTCGCAAATCCCGGCCGTGCGCTAATGTCCAAATCGCCATTAGTTTCGAGGCTATTATTTGCGGCGATACAAACTAGTCGCAAAGGCCTCTGCGTCATTTTAATGTGTCTTTCATGTAATTAAACATGGTGGCAAGTTTGGGTTGCTAGTCATAATAGCATATAATAAAACATATAACAAAAACATGGAAGCTTTTAATTGATTGAATCACTGGTACCTCTGATAGAAAAACTTGCGGTAAATATTCACGTGAAGAATGCCAAAGTCATATTTTATTATGCAGAAAAATTTCAAAATTAAACATTTCATACATCATTTTATATTTTCTGGTGAATTTCATTCATCTGTGTAGATTCACCTTTCGAGATTCCGAGCCCAGAAGACCACCTACCAAGTAGTGCTTGGCTACAGGAGACAACAGAACTTTTTAATGCTTTCGAAAGTCCAGGAAGGCAAAGTTTCGCAATAAGTTCCCGAACTCCCACTCGACGCATTCCCGCACAGAGAACATTCTCCTGTTGAATTCTTCTCCTTCGGCACTCAAATTTGCTTCTCTAAAGGGACTCAACAGGTATCTTCTAACGGGGTAAGCCGGGGCTCGGAATCTCGAAAGGTTCGCTATGTTGCGCACGCGCTATAGCATAGCTAGCGTGCGCTATTTGCTAGTGCGATTGCACCCACCTGCTATCTCGAAGCCTTAGCAGACGCAACGCAATTATAACCTCAAACTCTACTAATATTCGATTGCCGCATAAAGTGAAGACGTCATAACACAATTACACAAAATGCAATTTTTTTCACCATGACGCAAATCAAGAGGTTGTTTTTATTTATAGGAATATCATAATTACAAATACTGATATTTGAAGTATTTGACACCAATAAAATGTCAAAAAACAATTCAATAAGCGAAGCTTGGACTGACACAATTACTGACACAATGGTGAGTAGTGTTCAGTCTCACAATAATAGACATTGAGGAAGGTCACGGTGCGGCCGAATGCTTTGTTTCTGCTTTTTCATTTTGTGTGGAAAATGACACTTTTAAATTTATTATTATTATCAATAGACTACACAGATGAATGAAATTCACCAGAAAATATAAAATGATGTATGAAATGTTTAATTTTGAAATTTTTCTGCATAATAAAATATGACTTTGGCATTCTTCACGTGAATATTTACCGCAAGTTTTTCTATCAGAGGTACCAGTGATTCAATCAATTAAAAGCTTCCATGTTTTTGAGAGAACAGTTTCATTAGCTCTGTATGTATAAATTCAAATTACTGTTTTTCTTTTTATCAAGAGCTTGTAAAATATGTGGGTATTACCCACATATTTTACAAGCTCTTGATAAAAAGAAAAACAGTAATTTGAATTCCATGTTTTTGTTATATGTTTTATTATATGCTATTATGACTAGCAACCCAAACTTGCCACCATGTTTAATTACATGAAAGACACATTAAAATGACGAATTTTGCATACGCAGAGGCCTTTGCGACTAGTTTGTATCGCCGCAAATAATAGCCTCGAAACTAATGGCGATTTGGACATTAGCGCACGGCCGGGATTTGCGAAGCCTTCGAGATATGGGATAGCGCACGCTAGCCATGCTAGCGCAGGCGCTCAAAATAGCGATTCTTTCGAGATACGGGATAGCGCACGCTAGCCATGGTAGAGCGCCTGCGCAACATAGCGAACCTTTCGAGATTCCGAGCCCTGGTCAACTGCCATACCTGTGTGTATGGCAACCAGACGAGTCGGTACTTTTAACTAGATCCTCCCACCTTGGAGTACTATTTAGCATGAACTGTACACGTGTACATTGTGCGTATGTAAAATTAAAGAGTAAAAACTAAAATTCATACCTCAAGCAAACATTTATCCATATGAAATCTTGAATAAAAAACTGTTTTAACAAACATTCAGTCCATGTGTATCTTGTAGGCAGCAAGAGCCTAGTATGTCGATTCAGTTTTTCTTTTTTTAAACAAAGGCATAACCATCTCCATCATTTGTCTTTCTCTATTTGAGCTTCTCGCTCTTTCTTTTCTAATTCAAAGGGTTCTTTCTCGAAGGCCAACTTGTCTTTCAGGTAACTGACGTAATCTGCTGATGAATCATTACGGCGCTTCTTAAGTGGCGGCATGTTGTCGCAATTTTCAGCTGAAAAAATAAGCGTGTCACCAATTAATGCAGCGTCAGTTTTTGTTACTGATATAATAAATATTAATCAATATTTGCTATTAGAGACAATTTCATGTATAGAAAGATGTAATAGATAGACCCCGAGTCAGCGAGGGTTATGTGGCATACACGAATGCGTAGCACGAGTGGATGTCACATAACCCTCGCTGACGAGGGGTCTATCTTATTTAGACCACGGGTCCATTAGCGGGTTATAACGCATTCATGCCAGACGTGCGGTTATTCGAGTTACACCACGTCTGAGTCTTTTGTTCTTTACTTCCACCGTGGTCTAAGTGCTGTCCTTACTTTTATTTATAATTCATTTATTCAAATACACAAAACAGGACGCCATGTGACTTTCGAAACAAGGCTTCATAAAATTTGCATTAAAAGTCTAGGAGACATGTCCTGTCAACTAATGGAGAAAATCGAGCTACTAGTAGTATCTTACAAAACGGCACTTACCTTGCGGATACCCTGCTTGTTATGCGTCAAATAGTCTACAGACCACTTATAAATAAAGGCATTTGTACTCATAACAACTGCTCACAAAATGATGACCTAACAGTCTTATAATACAATCAGTCACGCGTGCGGAAGGTCAGTTCTGACTACCTTGTGGTCAGTGAAAAATGCCTTTTTACCGGTATAACCTATATTTCAATAGTAACAAAAAACATAGACACAAATAACAGAGACAAAATGTTTCACATATATTGCAAAAATAAAATGTCCAATATGATTTTAGCAGAGAAACGATCAATTTCGAAAGGCTTGATTTCATAAAATTATGCTGATTTGTCAAACCGTTTTTCATTGACGGGTAGCAATCTAGCTTCGGATAATGTTCTCTCTAACCGAATGTGTACACGTCACTAGGCAGTAAAATATGATGACCTAAACGTAGTCGTTCGCCCAAACGCACAGGTGCAAAAGCTTTTTTTCTTTTTTTCCCCTCTTAATCAACCTTTGCTCCTCGAGGAGGGAGAAGGTAGCGAAGCAAATGACGTTAGAGAAGTATCTTCAGAGATTAGTGAAGCTAGTGATGTTCAAATGCCAGAGAATATCATTGTTGACCGACCAACTCCACGAAGGAGTACTAGACAAAGAAAACGGCCAGCGTGAATGACTTCTGGAGAATTTATAAATTACGCGCGTATTGCCGAGTCAGAAGAAAAGACTGACTGGAAAACCAGAGTTAACATATTAATAGACTTAGTGAGTGACGCAACTTTCAGCGGACATAAAAGCACAATTTGTGAAGAGTTAATTAAACTTATAAAGAATAATTGAAAATGAAATAAATTTGAAATATTTTTCAATTATTCAGTTATTCAGTGTGTGTGAATGTCGAGGCAACATTTCAGTTGTGGGGGGAGGATGCGACCATGTGATATAATTGGTTGTTCTCTGAATACTTTTACGTTGACTTTCGCGACTTCTAAGTACCTTCACATCCTTTGAAAACTTATCTTCTATCACGTGACCTTTCAATATATAAAATCTGTGCGCGCCAATTTCGAGCACTGTGACGGTGGAAAAGCTGAGACTCGTGGCTTGTGTTGGGTTTTATTTTATACTGTTTTATTGGTTTGGAAGTCAGAATAAACTTTGAACCAGCCACCTGAGTTGGGTTAATAATTCTCGGTAACATATCTATCTATCTATCTATCTATCTCTATATATGCACGTAGACACTATTTTGGCGCGTGAGCGCTGTACTGGTGGCCTATTAGCAGGTACACCGGGTGAGTGCACCTGTTGCTCGCATAATTTAAGCGTGGCGTGTGTGGGTGCAAGATACGAAACAGGCGAAGTACGTCACTCTTTTGTTCCCGACATCTAGCTGCCTTGTTATACAGGCAGTAGTGTTCCGCATCATTTCACATGCCAAACAGGCGTTCAATGTTGTAGCTCTCTGTTTGTAATAAACAGTAAAGTAAACAGTGAACAGCGTGCATAATGAATACAAAACTACGTCACACTGGCACACCTCTTTTTCATCCAATCAGCTCGCTCTCCAGATTCTAGGTTATGAAGCTTAATGGCAGCACATCATCATCGTCATTCGTAAAAGATGCTTTTGCGTAGTTATATCAACTGAAAACGACAGGTAAGCAAGGCTGATTCGTCAGTCGACGGAATAAATGTTCTTATAAGTAAATGTGTCGAGTAGCTTTCGGTTAAATTTGTGGATAAATAATGAAGGCTATAGATCTACTAGTAGTGTCAGCCTCGTTGACCTCGTATCAGTCCATTTGGTTAGTGCGAAAACCTTGGCTCGAGCGTCGATCTTTAGATTTATGTATGGCATTGGCCAGTGTGATGGACAGAGTTTGTATATTATAAAACACCGATAAAATTCACTGGCCTGGTTTAATCAGATGGAATGTGTGATTTGTATTAGATTATTTTAGTAGTCTAGTGGCAACATAAAATTATGAGAAAAACATTGAATTGATCGACCTTCAAGGTCAAGTTGAAGGCTAATGCCTACCGGTGCATGCATCTCACAGTTGGGAAGACACTATATCACCGATTTCATGCCTTTAAATTGAAAATTTCAATAATGATTATGTCTGTGGTTTATGTCATAAAAGTATAGCAACAGATTCAATTACTGAATAAAATATCTGTGGTTGGATGTACAAATTATACAAATGTACAGGTATCATATGTATACTGATATGTACTGATGTAGAAATTGTGCAAGACAAATGTGTGATGTGGTCATAATTTACAGAAAATGATTCTTCAAGTTTATATTGCTCTGTTCATATTCCTTTTTACATTTTTGTATGAGCAAAATATATGTTCAATATCCATGAACACTAGCTATAGCTGTATTGTACCTATAGTGAAATCTCTCATTTTCCCCTTTTCACCCTCATCACATTATAAACAGGTGGGGAGAACATGGGTAGAAATTTGGTACTTTGCAGTATATATTCCCCCACCCTGTAACTGTAATTTTAAATACTAATCAAAATTGAGTTAGGCTATGACTTAGACTAAGGCTGTATTCCCAGAGCTTTTAGATCGATCTATCCCCGCAGGGAGTCTCACTAGATTACTGTCAGATAATCCAGCTTAAATGTCCGTCCCGCCTACTACAAGCTGTAAGGGGGTAATTAACTTTGGTGTCCGCTCGGCTGACAGCAATTTAGCATGGACCCCCAGGGAGTTAGGTTGATCTAAAGTAGATCGATCTAATCTCTGGAAATGGGGTCTAAATGTCTATGTTATTCAAATAAATTAGGTCAGAACTTGACTTTTTTTGACCAATGAGATTACAGTAAATGAGATTACAGTAAATTTTTTACCCCAGTGATAACCTCAGCTCACAAAGTTTCATGTGAAAAACATCTTAAAATAAGTGAATGAATTGCCAAACTAATTTATTTGAGTGGAGACATTGCTCAAACTTCCACACAAATTAATTCAGAAAAAATTGAATATTAAAGAGTTATATAGTGGTGGTGGGGAGAGGGAATACTGCAAAAGTGCAGAAATTTTTGTCTAGCTTAAAATTTGCTTTGCAATGAATATAAAGCAGTAGATGAGGACAATTTACCATCATATGTAGGACACAGCTAGGGATAAAAAAGTCTTATGTTGATGTTATACCAGTGTGAGTATTGATGTTAAATTACTAAAACATATAATTCATTATTATAAGTTTGTTTTTTCACTCCTAATTCCTGTGTTGTATAGCAGTTTACATAATATTCACCATTTGTTTTATCAGTAGAAACCATTGTTTTTTTTTATGTATGGTATTCAAATTTTAACAAATGTTCCATTATAGTCTCAAATATGATTTGAAATGTACCAGTGATTATTACAAGTGTATTATTGTTGATTATGTTTCCCTTTGTTGTTTTTTTTTTTTAAACTATGCTTTTTCTTTAACCTCAGGTTCATTTCATGGTAGGATATTTTATTGTTAAAAACAAAACATTGAAATTTTCTCTTGTTAAGTGGTGCGCAGTAGGGGAACTTACATAACTATATGCAGTTACATGTTGTAAGAGCTTAAGTTTTCAAGTTGGTTAGCTCTGTTGCCTCAAAACCATTTAGGTGGGAAACTAATGGTCTCCTATGGTTGCTAAAAAGAAATCTGGAAGATTCATTCATTCATCAACTCATTCATTTTTCTTGTAACCACATTTTATTCATGACAAATTTAATAGTGTCTTAAAGCAAGCAGTGTTCTTTAGACCATGCAGAAAAAATTATAGAATAGTAATTTTCATCTTGTTTACCAATAAAGGTAATAACTCTTTGCAAATTCATTGAGGAATTTACTGTACTAAGTGAACATATTTTTTAATCTCTTGGTTTTTTAAAATTTTTATTGTCATGAGAAAAATTAATCAGGCTCCATCACCAAATAGTGACTACAAATGGAAACTTAGAACTCAAATTTAACATTTGATTGATATATCATGATTTGTCAAAAGCTTTTGGTGCTTATATACCTTGGCTTTAAAAGGAAAAGTTGAAGATTTCAGGAAAATCAAAATTTTGCTGTATGTATGCTGTAAGATCATCATGTGACTTAATAAGTTACACTTGTAACCAGTGGCAACTTGAAACGGCTACTTTTCACTTTTTCTGAAAACGTGGTTCTTTTTACCCATCTTGAGAAATCAAATGGCACCGAACCTGGATCAAATTAAGACTTAGACTGGACCTTTTCCATCCCAAAGGGTGGTCATTAAAGTGAATCTCCTCAACCTCCCTGCCTGGTGTAAAGCATACTGTATTTGAATATACTACCATCATCCTTGAACTGAATGNGATATTCAGTGCACAGACCGTGATCATAAGACATACCGAAAATAGAAAATAGAAAATAGAAAATAGACATTGCATGTGAACGAAGCCTAAGACAGCAAACATTTTCAGCAGTCATTAATGTCAAGCTGGTGATTTACTTCAATTCATGAAGTTTACTAGCTGGTGATGCTACTGTACATAAATTCTGTCAGGTAATGTGCTAGGGTCATATACATATAGGTAAGGGGCTTTGAGAGGGGAGGGGAGAGACTTGAGTAAAGACAAAGTGACTGAATTTTACCTTGTTTCAGCTAGAGGAGATGTGCAGCCTCTGGACCATGGTCAATTTTACTGAAAAGTCTTCATTTTATTTTTAATAACCACCCCCCCCCCCTTTAAAAGTAAATTACTTGTTATAGACCAGGGCTCCATATCTCGAAAGGTTCGCTATGTTGCGCCTGTGCGCAAGCGTCTGGATTCCATAACCGATTCTATTTCGAGATACGGGGCCATGGAATCGAGACGCTTGCACACGTGGGCAACATAGCGAACCTTTCGAGATACGGAGTCCAGGCTCTAGATTGTTATTTTCTACCACTGGGCTGAAATTTGGTGTAAACCAAGAGTCAGTTGAAGTTGAAAAAACATTTATATAGCCAGTGCCCTCATCCTGTAAACATATTTATAAGAAACAATTTTCCAAATGGGCCTGAGTAATATTTAGGCCAAGCACTTGATACCGTAGGCAAGTTTTGTACTACCTGTCATTGCATGTCATCTGTACGGGGACCTATAGAAGGGAATTATGTGTAGTTTACATGTCAGAGGCAGTGAGCGATCTCTATTATGTATTTTCTACGTACTGTGGAAGGCTTGTTCTCACCAGTATCAATTTAGACCTTGGAATACTCAGTGATACACATCTAACTCGATCACCAGTTGACTTTATTGTTTAACATGGGGGTTTTAAAGGGCAATTTAAGGTATTTGTAAAATGATGGTTTCATGTGTGGTCTTTTGAATTAAGGCATTTATAGGCTGTCTATTTTGTGTTTTGATGTGAACACAGCGGAAAAGATTGGCAAATTGTTGGTCAGTCAGTGCAAGAGGGTTCAGAGAAAAAAACAAGAGGCCATTTAAACAGGACTCGGATGTTTTTGTGCATGAGATAATTTTTATCAATGTATTAAGTGTTTGTAGAGTACAATTATAATCCAGTGAAGTCTGTTTCAAAACCTGTTAGCCAACTGGCCCTTTGATTGACCATGCAGAGACTGGTTGAAATCACAAAAGAGCTCACTCAGCCTGAAAAATTTGATAAAAAATGCATTCTCCATGATTTTTCATTCATGATTTTCAACTGAGATAAAGTAAGTATTGACCTGAAGCATTTTTCATACCTTTTTTTGTTATAAAACTGGTAATAATATAAAATTTGATTGGATTATAACTGATTAATCTTGGGTAAATATGTACTAGAAGACAAAAATTGTTTACTTATTATCTGAAGCAGGCTCAGTTGCAATTTTATTGGCATTTGGCAATATTGAGCCAATGTTTACAAGTGCATCACCAGATTGCAAGGCTTTTAAGTGATAATGTCTTCTTTTCTGACTTTGAAACATGTAAAAAAAAGTGCTGTGATGCTAGATAAAACTGGGCTCTGTAGTAATTAATGGGTCTTTTAAAAAAGATATATTTTTATTCCATTATTGCTTTGCAGTAATAGACTGAATTTGTCTTTTAGAGACCATTCCCAGAGAATATCATAAAAACTTTGGATCGAACTATCTTCAAGGGGATTCTCACTTTATTGCAATTGACTTTAGTGGCTTAGACCCCATTCCCACAGATTTTAGATCAATCTATCCCTGTGGGGAGTCTCACTAGATTACCGTCAGCTTAGCTAGCTTCAGCGCCTGTCCCGCCTACTAAAAGCTGTAAGGGGGTAATTAACTGTCGTGCGCGCTCGGCTGACTGCAATTTAGCGTGAACCCCCAGGGAGTTAGGACGATTCGCAGCTTTAGTAGTTGGCGTCCCAGACAACTAAGCCACTTAAGCTGAAAGCAATTTTGCGAGAAACCGCGAGGAAATGGACCTATCCTGTTAGATCGATCTGGGGATGGGAACCCAGTCTTATATGTTTCATTATAGTGAAAGCTTTCAATTATATTTTGTCATCTTAATGTAACATTGACAATTATTTTATGATACTTAATTCCTGTATAATTATGAATTGGGTATGTAGCTCTATTATTGAACTTTGAAATTAATACATTTTTTTCACTCTCCTGATATGGTGAAACTGGGAGGATTTAATTTACAAAAGATAGGTTAAAAAAAAAAAGAGTTGGTGTAAATTATGCAGTAAATTAATATTTTCTTGTTAATTGATAAATGATACAAAATTGTAATTTATATCTTATTTCATAAGATGTTTACTTTTCCTGAATGATAATGAATGATTAAGATTTAGGTCTGTTTTATTTATTTATTTATTTAATTTATTTATTTATTTACTTTTTGATTTGATTAAAATAGTTAATGCAGACCTAGTCAAAGGTGAAGAAAGCTTTTTCACATGCAACTTAATTAACACTATTGTAGACTTAAATTTAAATTCTTTTTCAGTTATGCCTCCCGAGAATGCCAAGCTCGCTAAAAAGCGTAATCAGCTGATTCGTCTGGCATCGGTTCCCAATTTTGAGCCAGTGATAAAGCAGATAAGAAAACAGCAGAAAGGGACATGGAAGGTTCAGGCATCAACGATGGCAAAGAATACCCACAATCCCATCAGAAAGATTGTGGATGGTATGAAGCTGACACCCAACCCAGAGAAAGCAATGATAGCCTTATCAATAGGTGAGACAAAATTCAGGTTGTCCACTTATTTGGTTGAATTAAGATTTGAAAACACTTCTTCAGCCTTCCATTCTTTTTGGCTAGATGCCTAGACCGCTTCATGTTTGGACAATTTTCGGAAATTTTCAAAACAAAACCATGCAATAGCAGTAACAGGGAGGGGGGAGTTAAGGCATGTGACCCCCTCCCCCCATTAGTTTTGAAAGTTAGGGCCCTTCTTCTCCCCCTCCCCCCCCCCCCCAAAAAAAAAAATATTATAACAAGCGAAACAAAACACAATCAAGTGGACTATCCTTTTCTTTGCCCAATGTATTATACAATTTGTCAACTGTTTTACATGTATGCATAGTAACACAAGGATACCAAGGGAATCAAGGCAAAAATCATTTACAACTTAGCTGCCCCCCTTCCCCCAGCTAAATTTTGAATCCCCCAGTGCTTTATGTTGATGGGAATGCAGTATTCTTAATTTCTTGTGTGCTTTAATTCTGTAGGTGACCCCACTGTGTTTAAGAATCTTCCACCAGCTGTTGAACTTGAGGAGGCCCTGATAGAGACTGTGAAGGGAGGTCATCATAATGGATATGCTCCCTCTGTGGGTATGTACTGATATACACGGTACATTTGGTCACTCACTGTCAGATCTTAAGATGCATGATGCTAGCTAAAGTATAGTCCTGTTCACTTTTTGCACTAATGTTGTAATTAATTTAATCTGTTTTTGTCTCATTTTAATATTATATTTTTCTGGTTCTTTTTTGTGCCTTTTTGTGTTTTATGTTTATCAGTGGAAACAAAAAATTAATATTGGAAATTTCTCTTGTAAGCTATTTCTTACATAGCTGTTCCCTGCTGTTCCCTGTTTCCTAGCATTCATATATAAATTGCATAGTTGTTGTTTCTCTGTTTGCGGAGAAGGTAACTTACAAAAGCCCCTCTAAGTTGCATTATATATTCATTCATTGTTGTTGTTGTTAACCTACCCACCTGTGCATTATTTAAATGTACAAACTTTATGTGTGCATGCAACTTCCAGGTTACGAATCTTCACGTGCTGCAGTTGCTTCTGCTCTCACATTACCTGAGGCCCCACTTGAAGCAAAGGTAACTATGAACCCTCCCCAGACAGCATTCTCTGTATTTTCTGCAACATTCTATTTGAGAGAGATTGGCAACTGGCTCTTACATAGAGAGATGGCAAAATGGAGTCCCCATACTTGACTTGACATGGACAGTTAATTAGAAAAGAAATGCAATGAATTGCATTTGTTATCACTATTTATTTGGTATTTTTTCACAAAGAAAGTAATGCAGTAAAGCTGGTTAGTATGAGGTTATAGGATCACATTGAGATGAAAAACAAAATTTGATAAATCATTGAAATAGAAACAGCTGCTGTGTTAATGTTGGTTACTGCATATGAAATTGTTGACCTTGGATACTATTAATTACTTGTTGATAACTATTCTTATTTACGAGTTTTGTCTTCTACCTGCTTTTTTGCATTTTGATGTTATTCTGGTTACAAAAATCAAAGAACAAAAAAGAATGATTTAAAATTATAGAATAGTATTTTTTGTAAATATCATGCAGCAGCTCTGATGAATAATAAACGATAAATTCTATAAGTTTTAACATAAAACCCTTATCTCTCCATNAAAACAAAACCATGCAATAGCAGTAACAGGGAGGGGGGAGTTAAGGCATGTGACCCCCTCCCCCCATTAGTTTTGAAAGTTAGGGCCCTTCTTCTCCCCCTCCCCCCCCCCCCCAAAAAAAAAAATATTATAACAAGCGAAACAAAACACAATCAAGTGGACTATCCTTTTCTTTGCCCAATGTATTATACAATTTGTCAACTGTTTTACATGTATGCATAGTAACACAAGGATACCAAGGGAATCAAGGCAAAAATCATTTACAACTTAGCTGCCCCCCTTCCCCCAGCTAAATTTTGAATCCCCCAGTGCTTTATGTTGATGGGAATGCAGTATTCTTAATTTCTTGTGTGCTTTAATTCTGTAGGTGACCCCACTGTGTTTAAGAATCTTCCACCAGCTGTTGAACTTGAGGAGGCCCTGATAGAGACTGTGAAGGGAGGTCATCATAATGGATATGCTCCCTCTGTGGGTATGTACTGATATACACGGTACATTTGGTCACTCACTGTCAGATCTTAAGATGCATGATGCTAGCTAAAGTATAGTCCTGTTCACTTTTTGCACTAATGTTGTAATTAATTTAATCTGTTTTTGTCTCATTTTAATATTATATTTTTCTGGTTCTTTTTTGTGCCTTTTTGTGTTTTATGTTTATCAGTGGAAACAAAAAATTAATATTAGAAATTTCTCTTGTAAGCTATTTCTTACATAGCTGTTCCCTGCTGTTCCCTGTTTCCTAGCATTCATATATAAATTGCATAGTTGTTGTTTCTCTGTTTGCGGAGAAGGTAACTTACAAAAGCCCCTCTAAGTTGCATTATATATTCATTCATTGTTGTTGTTGTTAACCTACCCACCTGTTCATTATTTAAATGTACAAACTTTATGTGTGCATGCAACTTCCAGGTTACGAATCTTCACGTGCTGCAGTTGCTTCTGCTCTCACATTACCTGAGGCCCCACTTGAAGCAAAGGTAACTATGAACCCTCCCCAGACAGCATTCTCTGTATTTTCTGCAACATTCTATTTGAGAGAGATTGGCAACTGGCTCTTACATAGAGAGATGGCAAAATGGAGTCCCCATACTTGACTTGACATGGACAGTTAATTAGAAAAGAAATGCAATGAATTGCATTTGTTATCACTATTTATTTGGTATTTTTTCACAAAGAAAGTAATGCAGTAAAGCTGATTAGTATGAGGTTATAGGATCACATTGAGATGAAAAACAAAATTTGATAAATCATTGAAATAGAAACAGCTGCTGTGTTAATGTTGGTTACTGCATATGAAATTGTTGACCTTGGATACTATTAATTACTTGTTGATAACTATTCTTATTTACGAGTTTTGTCTTCTACCTGCTTTTTTGCATTTTGATGTTATTTTGGTTACAAAAATCAAAGAACAAAAAAGAATGATTTAAAATTATAGAATAGTATTTTTTGTAAATATCATGCAGCAGCTCTGATGAATAATAAACGATAAATTCTATAAGTTTTAACATAAAACCCTTATCTCTCCATGCTTCTGATATAGTGAAAGGAATACTATGTTTATCAGCCACCAGGCATATATTGTAATAATATATAATTAATCAATTCTCCAGTGAAAATATTCTGTACTACTAGTGTTATATAGAATGACCTAATAATAATATTTTATTTCCTGTTTTGTGTCATTTTCTATTGTTGTGTTCTTTATGATCATGATAATTGAATCATAGCATGTAGCTAAACATTATGATCTTATACAAAACATAAGCAAAAGACATTATCCCTGTGCAAAGAAGTCAAAGAATTCCTTGAAATAATTATAATAATAATAGAATAATTCTTTTTGTTGTAGGACGTGATACTGACAAGTGGGTGTTCGGGAGCAATTGACCTGTGTATCTCGGTACTAGCCAATCCAGGCCAGAACCTTCTCATTCCCAGGCCAGGGTTCTCTCTCTACAGGACATTAGCTGACTCTCTTGGCATTGAGTGCAAGTACTATAACTTGCTGGTAAGTTGGGAGTTCAGGTGGGAAATTCTTGAAGAGTTCCACATGAATGTGAATGTGTCGCTGACTTGAATCCCTGTTGAGTGACATCATTTGGTAGCAAACTTTTACAGTGATTAAATTATTTCTGAATCAATCAATGGATTTGAGTTTACATGTATCAGTTTTGCACTTTGTATGTACAGACAAAGTATTGTTTTAATATGGCCATGGCCTGCATCTGTTCATATTGTCAAAACAGCACATTTCTAGTTTTAAGCTTTCTCAGTACTATGCATGATGGTAACAATCTCAGACCTTTTGCACCCTTAGTTGACCCATGTTGGAGAAATAGCATAGCACCTAGGTAATATTCTGATTCAACGTTGACCTTATTAGGGGTAGTTTTTTTTTAAGCCTATCAAACCAACCCTGCCTATGGCCCTGAGGTACAATTCTTTTGAGTGGGATTTGCAAAAAAAAAAAAAAAAAAAAAACTGTCACATTCATATGATGTAGTATATATATATATATATATATATATATATATATATATATATATATATATATATATATATATATATATATATATATGCAATTTTTATTTTTTGACAGCCTGAACAAAATTGGGAGGCAGACTTGAAACAGATGGAATCTCAAATCGATACAGAGACAGCAGCCATTGTTGTGAACAACCCATCCAACCCCTGTGGCTCTCTTTTTACCAAGGAGCACATCAAAGATATTTGTGATGTGGCATTCAGACACAAGGTTCCCATCATTGCTGATGAGATATATGCATTCCAGGTAAGTTGTTTTCTGCTGAGAGTGTTTGCTTGCATTGGCATGTATCTGTGTTTTTATGATGGATTCAACCAAACATGGAAGTTTGATGTGTCATAGAGAAAAAGATACAGAGATGCAGATATATAGTTACAAAGATACTTCTAAATTAATTAATTAATTGAATTAATTAACTAATTAGTTGTATTAAATTATTTATTAATTTATTAGATAAATGTAGATATATAGCTGAGCTGTCACAAAAATACCTTTGTGTTTAATTTTTATTTAATTATTTATCTGTCTTTTTATATTTTTTAATTTACTCTTGCATAATTATATTTTTAGTTATTTATTTATCTATTTATTTATATTTTATATACACTCTTGCATAACTATATTTTGACAGGTTTTTGAAGGCAGTGTATATCACTCCTTTGCATCTCAGACTACGGAGGTTCCTATTCTCTCCACTGGAGGCTTGGCGAAAAAGTAAGAATGCTGTGGTAACCTCACTGAGATAATCTCATTCGTTTCTTTAATACCAGAAAATTTTTTAGTGTTCATTTAAGTGTTGATACTTTTTAAAATAATTTTTATTGATCTTTTCCATCAAATTGTGTTGTCACTATTTGTAACTTAATTGCCTATGTTCTTGTTACTGTATTGCAGTTTGTCAAATCTTACTAACTTCATTTTTGTCAGGCTGTGTAGCCTGTAATATCGAGCACTACTCATGACTCCTCTTGCAGTTTTATATATCTATAATATAGCACAATTGCTTTTTCCTCTAATATAGACAGCAACATCGAGTTCAAATTCCAGTCTTCTCTATTGCTGCAATCTGTGGCATTTAGCTCAATCCCAATTTCCTCTGTTGCAAGCTGTTACACTTCTACAATTCCCATCTCCTCTATCACATTCTGTTAATTCTAGCACAAATTGTGTCTCCCCTAGCAACTACATCTTTTCAGAATGAGGTCATATGTGGTACCTTTGTATTGTCTCTTTTAAATTTGTCTCACACATCTCTGGTTGTTGTTGTTCCAGGTTTGTTGTGCCAGGCTTCAGATTAGGGTGGATCACAATACATGACAGAAATGGTGCTTTTGAAGAAGAGGTAAGGTCAAGTTGCAAAATAGTTTAAATTCTAGAGTTATGAGCATTGCTTTTTTGAATCTAGTAAAAGTTTTACACAGTTTTACCAATTAGGGTTTTAGGCAGACATTAGGAATATTAACTTATTATGAACCGTTTCTTCTATCTTGCATTATGTTTAATTTTGTGAAACTTTCATGTTGTCCATTTTTTCAGTGGTAACAATATAACAGTATCCTATATTTGGATCTTAGAGATCTAATTCCTATTAAACTATTTGAAAGTTTTGTGATTTTGTTGATTAGTTGACTAATAATATATTGTTTTGTCATTACAAAATAAATTGGTAGCAATAATTTTTAAACGTACATAGTAGGTATATGGTGTCCTAAAAACCTTTTAGTGCAATCTTTTCAGGTGCGTCCAGGGTTGATCTCATTGTCACAAAGGATTCTGGGACCCAACACTATTGTCCAAGGTGCATTAGAGAAAATTTTGACAAAAGTCCCACAGATTTACTTCGACAAGATTATGGCACATTTACAGGTGGGTTGAAATATAGGTGTGTGATTGTTACAAAGATGAATCAAAACTCTGGCATTTAAAATTGAAGCCTATATACAGTCAGTTAGGGCTTAAATTTTAAAGTACTTCGATTAAGATTTCTTATGGCCACTTGTATATAAAACTAGATGCAGACAAATCCAGACAAGTCGTTGCATAGTTATAGTTACATGCACCAAGCTGTATTTCAAAACTGAATTTGCAATAAATATAATTGTACTTTTTGTGTTATGATTATGTGATCATGCTTGAAAATCATATCTCAGATAACAGTAAATATCTGTATTATCAAACAGTAACCNTTTTTTAGATATTTATTATTGCAGTAGTAATTGATAGTTTGTATCTTTTCCAGGCCAATGCTGAGGTGTGTTACAAACATCTGTCAGCTGTGCCTGGGTTGAATCCCATCAAACCAAGTGGAGCCATGTACATGATGGTAAGACTGCATATTGATATATTGTATTTTATATTTGCCAGTTTTGTACAATTTGAAATGCTCTTTAGTTCAGTATTCACAATATCAAAATGAATCACATCCTGCATGATCTAACGCTGAGGTTGTTTCGATGTTTTTCCAGATTGGTATAGATATTGAGCACTTCCCAGGTATAACTGATGATATGGCATTTGCTGAAATGATGGTCACAGAACAGTCAGTTTTCTGTTTGCCAGGAAAGGTAAGAAAAAACAAATGAAATGATGATTTTGATTTATATTTAATTTTTTTTTTAAATCAAAGTAATCTCTGAATCTCAAACCACCTGCCTGGAATTGGATAGTAGTAAATGACTCAGAAAACAATTTAAATGTTGAAATACTTTTTTCAAGAATTGTTGGTTTGTGGTGATACATTATTATGAAAGAAACAGAACAAATCAAAACTTACTGATAATAAAAAGAGTTGCAGTGCAGCATTTTACATCTATTATGGGTAATCTGAATTTCATTTGGAGTTAAATTTGTTGTAAATACATGCAGGGGCTCAGTCATAGGATTTATGCTTTTACAGTTAAAAAGGTCTGTTGTTGCACTGAAATATTATTCCATTGGCAGGAAAAAAAGTGGTTTATAGACCTTAAAGTATCTACAGATGCATAATTTTCAGTGCTGTCAATCACTTTGTTATTTTATTTAATGAAATTATGATCAAACTGCATTAAAAGTATTTCTGTTTGCTTTTCTGAATCAGTGTTTCCAATATCCAAACTACTTCCGAGTTGTGTTATCAGTCCCAGAGGAACAGATGGTGACAGCATGCCAGAGAATAAAAGACTTCTGCAAGGACCATTACAAGGGACCAAGTGAAAATAACAGCACACCAGTCAAGAACAGTAATGGAGACAGGAAAATAAATTCAAACAACTGCAGCAATGCAGACAGCGGCAGTAGCATCCTGTACAGTATCCCTGAGCATGACGAGATCCATGAGGAGAATTAAATGCTTCACCAACTGAAGCTTTTATCTTTATCATTTTAGCACAATCCAATTATTTACAGCCAGGTCGTAAGAAAACCGAGCATATAAGACATGATTGTACTTATTAATATTATAAGAACTGTCTTATATCTTGGTACCAAAATGTAAGAAGTGCTGTCACTTGTGGTTCAGTGATGAGAGAAATGGTTGGATTGGAATGCCTTTCTCATTTCTACAAAATTTAAAGTAGATTCAATATATGTAGATAAAACAAGCTTTTCACTTAGCCAGACTTCCTTCAATCTATTGGACACTCCTGTCTGTTAGATTGTTGTATCATGCTGGGTTCATGGTAATTTGAGGTAAATGTTTATTCAGCTAATGTGAAAAAAAAAAAAAAACAATTTCAGGTGTACATTTTACATACATTCATATATATTAGCTGAATAAATAATAATAATAATTATTATTATTATAAAGGGCACTCTACCAGGGCCACAGGGAGAATTAGTTTTGGTAGTTATTCACATATATTTCTCTGGCTAATTACTCAACTGTCTGGTGAGGATTTTCGCACAACTACATATTAACTGTTATGTCCTCCCCCAGCCAGCCTATGGTAGAGAGTGATACAAGGGTTCAATTAATTATAATGCACAAAATATCATTCAATCTGTGGGTTGTGAGAGAAGAGATAATCATTTATTTGTGAAATACAATATGTTCATTTTTTTGTTATTAAAAAGTTGAAATTTGTGAGGGGGCAAGATTCTAAATTTTATCCTAAGAAGTGCCACATTAAGAAATTATATTTAGTCAAAATGTCACTGTATTTCACGTGGGAATCACTTAAACAGTGGTTAGTTATAAACACATTATATATTCTACAGTTCAAATTGTATGCTGTAGTGTTAAACAGATTCTCTGCAGTAGCTAATTCCATTAATTGTATAAAGATAAAAAGTGGGGCCAGCATTTGACAAAATAATCAGATTTAGAAATGTTCTAATGCAGTGATAGGTATATAAGGGGTTCCTCCTTGTATTTAGCAATATTAGAAGGCAGCTATTAAAAAAATTTGTTCGGTGGGGTTATGTAATGAACATTGCAGGGACAAGTGCCAGGCAAGTAATGTTTTATATACATGTATACTCTATTCTGTTCTTTTATATTTAGCATTTGGTGAGGAACACAGTTCACCATGTGGACTAAACAATGTTTTTTTTTTTTGTACTAAAATAGGATCTTAGTACAGAAGTCACAGTTAGGCTGTCAGTGTGCACTGTTTGAACATTTCAGGGTTCAGGTCTACCAAAGGATATGAAAAGAGCACAAATTAACATTAAATATCATATGTTAGCACTTCAGTTTGTTTTATAAGACATAGGTGTAAGAAATATAAATAGAAGTGCTAATGCATGATTGCTGGGCACAAGTGTTAATTATTATTTAGGGTTTATGAACTGCATACATTCTTTTAATTTTACTAATCACAGCAACAATAGCTAATCTGCATTGGAGCTGTCAAAGATCTGCAGCCTTCAATGTCAGCTGTAAAATATACAGACTTTGTAATCCTTTTGAATTCTAGTGTCCTTTGTAAAAATTATCATGCCCTTTCAAGTCAAACATAAGCAGTGCACATTTGCAGAAGCACAATTGTTTTTTTATTTCTTGTATATTTCTTGTTAAAGGCACCTAGACCTTTGCTGTACAGATTTTGATGTCACTATGTTTATGTATTCAGTAGGTGTGTGTGTGTGTGTGTGTGTGCATGTTTCAGAAAGAGAGAGAGAGGGAGAGAGATAAAGAAAAACGTAATTTGATGAAATGCCATATTATTGTTTGGAAAATGAGCCAGAAATGTTGTAGCTTTGTTTTTGTCTCAAGCTGTGTGTGTGTGTGTGTGTGTGTGTGTGAGAGAGAGAAAGAGAGAAAGAGAGAGAGAGTGTATGTGTGCGAGTTTTAAAATGTACCAGACAGTTAACAACATCTTTATTATTCATAACAGTATCTTCAAACATACTGTTCATTTATATTATCCAGGTGGGAGAGACTTCAAGTTGGTAATTTATGGCAGCTATTTTATACATGTACACATCAAGCAAGATTTTATTTTCTGATAAAGTACAGATGCGGAGGAAGTAAAAATCTAGTTTATTTTTAAGAGCACATTTTTGCTGATTCTGCAGTTTATTATATTTCATTTTCATTATATAATAAAATTGTAAAAATGTGTGACTTGGGTTTCCCAGACTATACACATTTGTTAATATGTGACCATGTTGCTTTGCTCAGGTTTAAATGTGACATTACCACAGCCATACTAAGCAGTTGGTTTTTACTACCATCGAAGTATTTGGATGGTAGCTTTTTTATTATACAGAAACACCTGCCTGATAAACACTGGGAAATAGAGCCACTGAAAAAATACCAACTTTTGAGAGGATTAGGTACTGGACACAAGGACTAAATACTTTGTGGTTTTGGAAAGCATACTTGCATACTGTACTTGTCATTGAAGTTAATAATAATAATTGCAAAATGATTGAACAGTAAAGAAGTAAGCAATAGCACAACCATTTTTTTATCCTAGTGGTTTTGTATGGAGGGCAGTCACCAAAAACTCATATAGCCACTGAACGGAATTAAGAACTGTTGATACAGACAAGACTTGCTCAGCAGAGCAATGAAATGACAAAATACTTTCAGTGGTATTGGCAGGCTCCTGTTATGCAGGCATATGAAGAAGTATGTGACTTAGAAATTTAGTCAATAATAATTAAATATATAGGAATTTATTCTTTGAATATGATGGAGCTAAGATATTCAATTTTATTGTATATAATCAGTTGTCTTTACTTTATTGGGTAGAAATTGAGAATGAATCTCACTAAAAATTTGTTTATGCTCTTTTGCAAGTTTTATTTTTAGCGTGTATCTCAGATACTCCATTTGCTCTTTTTGGCATGACTTTATTACAGAAGAAATATTTATCCATTTTGCTTTGTTGAGGCACTTTTTTGTCATATTTATCACAAATGTACTTGCACAAACTGGAAATAAAGTGGATTTTGAAAGAAAATTTTATTTATATTTTAGCCTTGAAGGTAAAAGTTAATGATACAGCAATATACACGTTTTGGGTCTGGTCTAGACCGTTTATAGTGTTTTAACAACCATTTTTTAAAGTAACTTGATCAAAGGTTGATTGGAAACTACCATCTTCCTCTTTTTTGAGTCAATCCATATTTGATCCAATCACACTGTATGAAAAGTTCCATATATCAAATTGGGAAATTCACCAACGGCAATACAGGCATCTCAAGTATCTTCTTCCTCTTCTTCTCCAAAAGAAAGTAAACTTGTATTTTTTGCTTTAGTCTTTGATTTGTGTTTGTGTTTATGTTTTTTGTCCTTAGACATTTCTTCCTTGCTGTCCTTATCTTTTGACTTTTTAGAAGTAACTGCATTCTGATCACTGCCTACAGAGTCATTTGACCTTTTTGTAGGTTTCCTAAAGAGAATTTTCCCATCAGGTGGGGGTGGTTCATCATCTGAAAAAATAAATTATGATGTCTATTATGCGTGTGTTAAAGGAGGAGGAGAATTGTACAAGACACTGGTTAACAATTGTAGTATGTTTTTTTTAAAGTACTAAATATTTAGTATTAAAATACTTTGTCAAATATAAGGAACAAATCCATTCTCGATAATAATGATAATAATAATATTAATTAGTTATAAATAATACGGATAATTAGGTATTTCATTTTCGGATGATAAAAAAGTAAATTGTTTTTAAAGAAGTCATGTGATCAATGGCCTTTGAGGAATGGTTGAAATGCCATGCTTCAAAGGTAGACTTGGTGTAGAGGTATCATATTAAAGAGTCTCTTTATCTTCAGAACTGATTATCTTTTTTATCATTTATAATCGTATTCATGTATACAGTGTAAATCTGCCATAAATGTTCAATAAACTTTACAAAAGTTATTTAATAATACTAAATGTCATATAAAATTGATTAGGATTATCATGATGACTTTCATAATCAAACAGCAAAGAAAGTCCGAATTCCATATTTGGGTGCAAATTACACATTTACATACAGAAGCAACATTTGTTTTCCAAATACCAGTATACTACATTAAACACCTTATAATTCACCTTATAATTCTTATATGAATACATGTATACAATGACAGTGTAGCCTACTCCCTTGTTTACCAAATTTCAACCAAACTTTTAACAAAGCAAATAAACTTGTGAAAATATAAAACATACAGACCACTCCCCTATTTTTAAGTGGTGAGGGGTAGTAAGAAGACAGGTGTTACTGACACTTGGTGAAAGAAAGTTCTTACCAGTGACTGAATTTGGGTCCTTTGCATATTTTTCTGCCTCTTCTGCTGTGAGATCACCCTTTTTCAAGACCACTACCACTGGCTTTTCCTCTTCCTTTTTCAACACCATCATCATCATCATCATCCAAACCCTGCTGCGCCTGTCTCTGAAAATCAGTGTTTGCATCACACATTATAATACAGTCAGGGGCGGATTTAGGCCGTCTTCTGGGTCTTCTGGAAGACGGTCAGATTTTCAAGTTTACGTTGTCAGCCATCTAATGTTTTCTGTCGGAAGACGGTCAAAAATGGAAGATGGATCAACAAAGATAATTTGGAAGACTGTCAGAAAATATCTCTGGATCCACCCCTGATACAGAGAAAATCAGCACTGGTCAACTATTCCAGCTTCAGGTGACTTCATCAGAATTCAATGATTTTATATTTAAAATAACACAAATATAACGCCTCAGCATATAACTAACCTTAAATGATGTCACAAGAAATTAATTTTTTTCAAGGTTTCACGAGCTTCAGACGCAGATTATAAAATTAACGTCCTCACAATTTGACGTTTGGAAAAAGTTGAAACAGAATTCAACTAAATGTATAGTAAATGTATGGGCATTCATTAATTTCATGTGACATGTCTCTTTACCAATGGAGTAACACTTGATATCCTACCTTTGTATTTACATCTGGGCCTTCTTTATAGCCTATCCTCTCCTTGAATCTTTTCAGAAACGCTGGCTCCTCTTGCTGTACGTATTTTATACCTCCGCGTCCACCTCTGCCAGGCATTACTCTTTTGTTTGTAAGAAATGCTGTAAAAAGCTTGAACAACCTTCACCTTTAACATCCTTGCACGACGTTAGACGTCGCTGTATCATGACAGTCCAAAATTATTAAAATTAATGCTCTCGTTATAATTTGTTTTTGTACCGAATACTCCGAACTGTAAAATACATAAAACCATTTTTTCTGAGGATAAAATTGAGTGATCAGGAAGTATGGTCTCCATGGAGATTTAAGGAAAAAATAGAAATCACGTGCCTTGACTCAGTGCCATCTTGCGTTAATTGAAGACAACTAAAACATGGAAGAGAAAGGGGACGAGACGAAAGTTGCTGAAGAAAATAACGAGGAGGCCACACGTTCCCCGGCCTTAGATGAGATGTTGGATGAATTTGGGAAGGACTATGCTTCATATTTACAAGTAGACTCTAGCAGGGAGGTAATCTACACTTTTTAAGTATGCAACTGTCTTTGACAGTGCTTAAGGCTTCGGAAGTCAACTTGGTTTACAATCATAATCATTTTCAGTTGCACAGGAAGGACACATTTTGATCAATAAAAAACGACCGTTTGCTATTTTGTAATTTTTTTTATTAAAGCCAGATATCCAAAATACCAAGATGTATATCTGCGCATGTGCCAGCGTCTCAATTATATGGATTTTTGTTGACATAAACTTAATAAATTGCGATACTAACATTTGCATATATATTGCATTTATTATTTAAAAACAATTCTCAAGTTTTATTTTGAGGATTTTTGTAATGTCGCAGTTTAACTATTTCTTTGCAGAAACACCAATTTGAAGAGTCAGTAGAAGACATGCTAACACGTTTGGATGAATTCTGTGGACTCGTAGATTTGGTGAGCATCATGCTAGGCTTGGTGCATTTGATATAGAAATTATGAATTTACTTTAACTACAAATACTTGCCCCATACCTGGCTACATGTCTGTATTGTCTTCAGCTATTAGTATGAGTATGTTCAGATGCAAGAAACTTAACAGCTGGAAACTTTGGGATAGTTTTTCTTCTAAAATGCACATATATAGTTTATAAATATATATATATATATATATATATATATATATATATATATATATATATATATGGCCTCATTCAGAATAGGTTACTAACTAGTCTTAGGGTCATATATTGTAACCTACTACAAAGCTTGTCGTCTAATCTGCAAATAGACACTGAATAGATATCCCCTGGGGAAGTATTCAAGTGGGTCAGCCATATTGTACCCTCGGACTACTTAAGTAACCTATTCTGAATGAGGCCTATGAGTTCATGTGTGCTCAATTCTTAACAGTTAGTATTCCTCAAAAGCCATCATGATGATATTTCTGAAAATTGTAAACTGTGAAATCTTTAAACACATTGATACTGGTTACTTTATTTTTCAGATACGTAGTGACAGTACGTTATGCTTAAAGACAACGCTTCCCAAAATTCAAGCCAAAAGTGCAGAAATGGAGAAAATGTTTGAGAGGATAGATAAACTGGAGGTACACATCAGCATTATTATTATTCAAAGATACTGATTGCTGGTTCCAAATTCAAACATACATTAGAGCAATACATATTTTAAGGCGAGTTATTATGTTTAGAGCCTAATTTAATAAACCGTGAATGATTGCATGCATTCCTTGCTATTTCATTCCATGTAAACCTGCAGTATCTGAGGGAGGCATAATAATTTCATTATTTATTAGGATATTTGGTACCTATAGACATTAAGTGTAATATGCCATTTACAAAAGACTAAATGGATAAAGGACAATGCATACATCCTGCATACCTTTTCTGTAAGTGGCCTAAAGAAAATTGTCTTACTGATCAGTGTCCTTTTCCTTTCAGTCTTTTGTTTCTCTAGTGAAGCAGAACCTCAATGCCACGGAGGAGCAAGTGAGCAAAGCCGAGGATGAGTTGGGATCATTTAGTTCCTTTAAGAAGATGTTGAATTCATTCTCTGTGCCATCTTTTTTGTCTAGTGTAAGTATGTGGTACTACTGTGACAAAAATGGAATGATTAAATGAGTTTACAACCTCCTCCTCCTGTTTAATCAGTATCACTTTACATGTCTGAAAACATATTTTTTCATGAAAAAAAGGTCTAATATTTAAAAAGAATTAATATATTGTTAACTCCAAGGCATGTTGTTTTTTTACTGCTGCAGCTTTTTTTGGGATGAACAAATATGTTACTCAATAACTAACCATGAATTCCTGATTTTTGCATAAATGTTTCAAAATGCTACAAAGGTCATAGGAAATTGAAATCCAATTGAAGGCCATTGAAATCCAAAACCAATTGGAACAGGGTTAGGACAACATAGTCTACATAAAAGATAAAACTAAGTGACAGTTGAACAAAAATCTTGCTCACCCTTTAGTGTCATTTCAGATAATCTGCAAGTGTTATTGTACTTTGTCTGTTTTTGTGTGCTTTTCCCAACAGGATAATGAAGTAAAACTAATGAGTTGTGGGGAATTTTTTTTGCCGTTTTCCAGAAGAAGCCTTCCACTCCAGTTAAAGCTGCCAAGGAAACGTACAGTCCACTAGAAGTTATTGACTGCAATAACTTTTTTTCTTCAACTACAAGTGATTCAAAATCCTCAGGAGGTCAGGCGACCTCTATTACCCAGTTAAAAGACACAGAGAATGAAGCGACATCTAGTGAGGAGCAAATGGTAGCAAGTAGCACGTAAATGGAGCTTAAAAAACAACCAAACAAAAAGGAGAATCCAGATCTTATATTATCAAAGGGTTTCATCAAATATTTCTTAATCCCTATTTCTTCAAGCATATCGGTGAAAAAAGGAACAGTTATCTTGACTAATTGGGGAAAAATCAACGATGATTTATTGATTATTTATATTCAGAACGTTTCAAGTTGTTGATCAGAACAGGTCTTAAGGTGCTTTTTAAATTATCTATTTATTTATTTATGTTATAACTGTGATATCACTATGCATATAGATTTTCATAACTATTGATTTAGTGCACATTAACACTATTAATAGACCCCATTTTCTATCATGCACAGTTATTTTGTCATATTATAAGCAGTTGAGCATCACTTTAAAAATGCAATTCATAATCAGAAATGCTGAGCATATAAGTTAATGAGCGACTAGCAGCACAAGGTTGGATTCACGCCTCTTAAATAAGAATTATTTTTTCAGTGACGAAGTCTTCAAGTTTGTACTGTAGAAAGAGAATGTGTGTAGATGAATCTCTCGTTTCCTCACTTGCACTTGCATTCCAGCATTTATTAAAAACTATGCTTCCAGAATATCCATTATAATTGTTTATGGTGATAAAGTACTTCTTATAACTAATTGGAAGTTAGTTTGTAAACCCTTTATACAGGGGAGCTATATTTGCAAAATAAAAAAAAATTGAATATTGTAAACTCGACTTGCTTGTCAGTTTTGTGCATCATTCCCTCACTATTGTTCAACTTAAGAAAAAAATAACGTGTGGTATTGAAACAACAGCGGTAATTGTGAAAACGGTAGTACATTTTAATGGAAGAGATAGATACAAATATTTGAACTGTCGCTGCCAGTAGTGATTTTTTACGTGGCCTTGGTTCCCCCCTTAATTAAAAACCTGGGACTGTTTTCACAAACGACCAAACTGATAAAAATCGAGAGTTGTCCGCATTGCTCAAGTATAGGTCTAAAGCATAACTCGGGAACTTTTCTCCCAGAGGCATAGTTAGATATTAATCCATCGTGCAGCAAGGGACATAAGGTCACTCTGAAACAGTCTTATCTTCCTCGCAAGGTCATTTCATTTCATTGGACTACTGGTCGTTTAAAACGTTTTGCAGGAGGAAAGGGGCTTTGGTAGGTGGAAGAAATGGCTCAATTCGAAGCTACGTTTATCTAGAACGGACTACATTTTTGGCCTGAAGTCGAGGCTTTTTCAGTACCTACTTCAAGATCACAGGACGAATTCTATTACACAATTCATGGCGGAGTTCCAAACATAAAATACAGTGATAAAATTTAATGTATTTATTGCACCAATATTTTAGAGGACAAACACAAAAATGTAAAGTAAATACAAGTAACGCATATACAAAAAAGTTACATTATAACAACTGAGCTACACATTGATTAGATTTAGTACTAGTAAATAACAAGAAAATTTTGTGATGGGACGATACAATGCATTTTCATATAAGTAAAAAATAACCACAGAGGCCTTTATTTATAAAACAATGGCCCAACTGCATTTAAATCGAGTATATTAATAAGTGTGTAAATTAGTTGAGCGATAAATGAAAAGGTCTAACATTCGTTGTGATTATGTTTTAATAAGTAACAATACGCACTATGACACAGTAAACTTACGAGCTTTTTGTAGTGGATCGACTTGGCTCGATGGTGCCTTGGAATATTTGGGCGACAATAAGTTACGGTTTTGTATTAAAGCATGGGTTATTCTACAATCCTCCAGAATATAATGATCATATCTTTCTAATGAACCCGATCAAAAGAGGATCTCCCAGGTGTCGTCTGCCGTCGACTTCTTTCCAATCGGGGTTGATTGGACGCCTGCTGAGGTCAGCCTACAATAGTTACTGTTATCTACGACTTATTCCCATAGGAGTCATCATTAGGAGGCAATTCGCTCTGTAAGTTGTGAAATAATCTAGATTGAAGTAAATTGTGCAGGCAGTTTGTTCTTAAGGTCGTTAAATGTCCTAGAAAGACGTAAATTCTTGTCTCAAATGATACGCCTCTCAATCTCAATAAGGCATGCATGCTTTCGATGTTTACCAATTATTTTTTACCGACTCGCCATAACCAACATTGTGGCTAGTTGGCCTTGGTGTGGAAGCTATTCATGTCCTGGAGCTGTGTGAAAGAGGGTCCCAGATTGCTCTCCTGGTCCTGTATATTACCTTTGCCAGTCGCCTTGTTTCTCATCTTGACCTGATGCTGTTTATATGTGGAGGAAACGGCGTCCATGATTTCGGAAAGAAGTTCTGAAAATGTCAAAATGGCAGAAGTGTTCCAGCAGGCACGCTCGTGAATTTTTTAGGACAATGGCATACAAGCATAATAAAATTAGGAGAACAAGGCACGTTTTAGTAAATTTTTAGGTGGTGTATTCCTAGCGGCTTTTAGATCGTCTCACCTACTTCTTTCCATAAAATATTATCAATAACAGACCCCAACTTATGTCGATACACAGTTTACTTCAGCTTTTTGAAGGCACCTGTCACGATCTCTACATTTTAAAGATATCCTTTAAAAAGCGCGCACCCATATCTTAAAAGCACGCTGTATTATATTGAAGAAGTGGGATCACTTCACTCTAGCAACAAGCTCTTAGTTAATCCAAGACATGCTCCCAACCGCCCGGACATGGCAAAGCCAATTCAAATAAAATTGATAAGCAAAATAACATTGTGCGGCTACATAAGATATTGAAACTAGATGGAGGATTGTCGGATAGATATTTGGATATTTAAAAATGTTAATGCTGCTAAAAGAAAAAAATCCGTGCCCGATCCCCATAAACGGTCAATTTGTGTAGAATGCGGTTGTGTTTCTCAATTCACAACATAACTTGGACATAAAAGAGGGGACCCAGGAATCCCACGTTAAAACAAGGTCTATGTTAACCATATCTTACCTTCTCTCGCCTCACGAGCCTCGTCATCGCCGTCCACCGCTGGGAAATCCTTGCTCTCCACGCCCCACGTGAAGAAAAACATGTACATCACAGTGGCTATGGCGGACCCCGTGAATGGAGCTGCCCAGTAGAGCTGGAATAACAAGGGAGATACACTTATGGGGTTCGTGGTGCAGTCGTACAGGGGGTGGGATAGGGGGGTGGGGGTGAGGGGTGGCGGTGGATGTTCAGTTAAAAAATAGAAAATGGTTTACCAAACGTTCAGTAATGAAAATGCTGGAGCAAAATGGAAAAACGCACCGTCATCACTTTTTATGTAGCTTTTGGAATATTGTTTAAATGATGAGAGCATTTCAAAATAAAACCTTTGCAAAGGAGCGAATAATAATAAAAATAAACAACAATGCCGCAAAATTTTTTGATTTTTTTTTCTTTTTACCCTATTCTAAATCAAAGATCGCCCACTCACCCAGTGTTGTGCCCACATCCAGTCAAGGTTCAGCACGACGTGGGGGCCCATAGCAACGGCCGGGTTCATACACGCTCCAGTTTGGGTGGCCTGGAATGAAGGCGACATAATTATTATTATTACATTCGCCGGAATCATCAAATTCAAGAAAATCTAAGGGGACTCAAGACAGCTAAGCATCTATAATGATTACGAATTTACCGCAACGAAACATTTTGTTCTGTTAGAAAAAGCATATGACATGAAAACAGAGCTGAAGTGACGTATTAGATTTTTGGAAATTTAAATTTTAAAATAAAAAAATGAAAATTAAAGAAAAAAATCATTAGTGACCCAATAACAAACACTGCGCCAAAGTTGCCAAGTAACGGATCAGGCATATTTCTGTACAAAACAACCGAGAACGGTATAGTACAAAATAGTCATTGAAAACCTCCGACCCAAAAAGAGGATCCATTTTGAAACCTCCCCCCATGAAACGCCACAAAGAAAAGTTTTATTCTCCCCACTTCTACCACCTTGTGGAAATGGGGAATATTAATTTACATACGAAATTCAGATTCCGCTTTCTAGGCAACTTCATAGAAACAATGATGGAATTTTAATCTGGTATCTTACCCCAGTGAACACCATGACGCAGACGAGAAGTCCCACCGCAACAGAGGGCATGTTCACAGGACGCAGACGATCATCAATGGCGGCAAGGTTGACGAACGCCAGCATGAAGGTCAGACAGGTCTCCATTAAAAACCCTTGCCACATCGAAATGTCCGGATGAACAAACACTGCGCCAAAGTTGCCAAGTCTGTCCGCAGGCGTTACCCTGAATAACAATGGACATCAGTTCTGATTTTATGGAACAAATAATTGACGTTATTGTTTAGATAGTTTACCTCTTACAAAATGTGTTTGTAATTTTCTTTTCTCGCATTTATTGTAATTATATTGTATTTATTGTATTTCTTTCGTTAACTTTTGTCGTCTACTTTATACATTCCAAGCTATTCCCTATGCCTTTGATTTTTACGAACAGCCTCATCGACTTGTGGCCTTTGGTTACTATGGACTCGCTTCATTTCAAGTTACCCTGCTTCCAGAAAAGAAGATAGGGGAAGCTGATCTGAAATCCAACGCTTCATTTTCCTTTTTTTTTTTAAGTTGCATACTTACACATAAGACAATGCTGTGCCCCCTATACCACCGGCAAGCTGGGCAATGATGAAGAAGAACCCTAGTAATAAATATAAAACATTCATGAAGGGACTGTATATATATATATATATATATATATATATATATATATATATATATATAAGTCAATAATTTAGCCCTGTAAACTACGTGTGTCGGCAGTCAGTGATCAAAGATGACGAAATATCTCTGGTAGTTTACTTCTCTCGTCCAAAACACACACACACACACACACACACACACACACACACTAGCCAATTTTCAATCTGTTTTACAAGGCGTCACAGAGAAGATAAACCTCCATATGACGCCATGTGTTGTGATATGAAGTCACAGCATGATCCTACCTCGTGTGAGGGACACCTTTCTGGCGATGATGAAGGACAGCGTGATGGCTGGATTGACCACCGCCCTGCTCAGATGTCCAAAACCCTCGATAATAGACGCCACGGTGAACCCAGTGCCCAGAGCGTTCTGAACAATGTTACCGTCTTCCGGAAAGCGAGGCCACCTGGAACCGGATGATTCATATACGACATGAAGTTTGAAATGTGACATTGCTTTAATATTGGGGATGATTGCATTTGTAATAACCAGAACATGAGAAATGTCATGTTCATGTAACACGTGCAATACCGTGCAAATGGCGGAATAAGGGGTTCGGAGGNACACTGCTCTCTGTGACAGAGCTTCCCTTTCTCCTTACCCTTACCCTCCCAACCCATCAAAAAAAAAAAAAAAAAAAAAAAATGAAAACAAGACAAAACCGGGCACTTTCTCCATCCCTGTGTCCTTTTGTACAATTATTTACTTGCAGAGAGAAGCGAAAATTTTTTGGTCTTGTGCCACGATTTATAAAACTACTTGTACTGTTAGTAGATCATAAGATGCTACATGCAAAATCACGCTTGAAATGGATAGTGGCATCATGGTCACGAGTTATACGTGACATGTTGTACAAATGAAATCCTGCCAAGACATACACCCCATTTCCATAGATTAGATCGACCTATTTTGGATCGACCTAACTCCCTGGGGGTTCACGCTGAATAGCTGTCAGCCGGGTGGACACGAAAGTTAATTGCCCCTTACGGCTTGTAGTGGGCGGGGACGGACACTTAAGGGGGATTATCTGACGGTAGTCTGGTGAGACTCCCCGCGGTGATAGATCGATCTAAAGTTGTGGGAATAGACCCTTAAACGTGGTCTCGAGTGGTACATGTGGTACATGTACAGCTACACGCTTGAAAACGCTTCAACTCTTTCCAAGTCCGGTTTAAGATGAATCGCTGAACATAGCCTATGGTGGTAGCGACACTATGTATCTAAATCTAAAAATATGCTAGTAGTCCTTTTACTCTTATAACTTACGTGCATCCATAAAAATACCATGTGCTATAATTGTTAGGTCATAGCCATTGCACCAAAATACGCTGGTACCAATAGAGAAATAATAATAATAATAATAATAATAATAATAATAATAATAATAATGGATATGTTGTTTACAAATTATTCATTTGCCACGTTTAGACGGTTCGACTATAGCGGTTATGCAACCAGCAATATCCATGCTATTTACTCGACTCGCAACCTGGCATGATTGAAAGGTGCGATGCTTTACATTCTTCGCAAGTCAAATCACGTCTTGTAGAATCAGAAACAGACGGAATACTGAGCGAGATTATGCAACAACTACTTGCTTATCTAATAATAAAGACGAAGGAAAGGAAAACGAACGAAAAAAAAACCCACCAACATTAACACCGAACCAACACNGGGGGTGGGGGGGGGGGGGGTGGGTGGGGGGACACTGCTCTCTGTGACAGAGCTTCCCTTTCTCCTTACCCTCCCCCTCCCAACCCATCAAAAAATGAAAACAAGACAAAACCGGGTACTTTCTCCATCCCTGTGTCCTTTTGTACAATTATTTACTTGCAGTGAGAAGCGAATTTTTTTTGGTCTTGTGCCATGATTTATAAAACTACTAGTACATGTACTGTTAGTAGATCATAAGATGCTACATGCAAAATCACGCTTGAAATGGATAGTGGCATCATGGTCACGAGTTATACGTGACATGTTGTACAAATGAAAACCTGCCAAGACTTAAACGTGGTCTCGAGTGGTAGGCCCTACATATGGTACATGTACAGCTACACGCTTGAAAACGCTTCAACTCTTTCCAAGTCCGGTTTAAGATGAATCGCTGAACATAGCCTATGGTGGTAGCGACACTATGTATCTAAATCTAAAAATATGCTAGTAGTCCTTTTACTCTTATAACTTACGTGCATCCATAAAAATACCATGTGCTATAATTGTTAGGTCATAGCCATTGCACCAAAATACGCTGGTACCAATAGAGAAATAATAATAATAATAATAATGGATATGTTGTTTACAAATTATTCATTTGCCACGTTAAGACGGTTCGACTATAGCGGTTATGCAACCAGCAATATCCATGCTATTTACTCGACTCGCAACCTGGCATGATTGAAAGGTGCGATGCTTTACATTCTTCGCAAGTCAAATCACGTCTTGTAGAATCAGAAACAGACGGAATACTGAGCGAGATTATGCAACAACTACTTGCTTATCTAATAATAAAGACGAAGGAAAGGAAAACGAACAACAAAAAAAAAAAACCAACATTAACACCGAACCAACACACTTTGGTTTACGTTCAAGTTATGAATTTTCACTTTAGAAAGTGGCTTAATCTGTTCATTTGTTTATATGTTCATATCTGGGGAAGGGGTAAAAAAACATAATGGGGTGGAAGGAGGAATTTGCTAACATAAAGGAACATTTACACAAAGAAAATGGGATATTATTTGGTAGATTTAATGAGAACTCAGAACGGCAATGGTTACCACGAATCCCTTATCTTCCGATGAAAAAAATTTAAAAACTTTTTTACTTTTGAATTAGGCCATTCATGGTTAATCTCATAATTACCGTCTTTTGAGGTATATAGTGTTAAAAATTAACGCCAACCCACTTATCCTGACAGCTTTCTAAATGGACCGCAAGTTTCACAATTAAAGGGCCCAAAGGTCCGAAAACTATTCGACACTGTAGCAGAAGCAAACGCCTTAAGTAATTTGTCGGTCAACAGAAACAAAAAACCATGCTTCTGTTTAGTTTGAACTTTTCGTCAAACAGTTCATGTGTTACGCTCAGCACTAAAGTTTCGATATTTTTGTTAAAAAAATAAAAAGAGACCTTTGGCTGTAGGATTTTTCAGATCCAGGGAATACCTAAGTAGGTGAACCAACTAAATTTATTCTAACTTTAACATAAACACACTTAAGATTTTTATCGAGCGTGTTTATGGCTAGTCCCCTGCTTTTTTGGACAAGAAAATTGCGTTATAAAATACAGTTAATTCAAAATGAAGCGTGTAGAAATAAACACGATTGCATAATATACGTTGTTGTTTTTCTCTTGAAAATGTTTGAAAACGTAACGCAAAATGTTCACCGAAAAGAAAATTGCGTAATAAAATATGAATTTACATTAAAACGAGGGGTGGAAATAAACACGAGCACATAATAAAAGTTACTTGCGTTGCTGTTGAAGAATGCATTATGCATAACGCATAATGTCCACCTATAAAATTTCACGATCAATTAAATTAACAAAATTGCTCGATTCAAATATTGATTTTTTTCTAAAACTTTGAACTATAGTTCTCCACAGCTTGGCAATCAATACATAGTGATACTCTGGAGGAATCCAAATGTTGGGATAGTCAGGGAAAATGTACCAATTTGTTGAGCTCTGCGGGCCTGAAGATATCAGGTGGACCAGAATTTTCACACTGCCTGCGTTGTAGGCCCCAACGTTTTTACCTGATAGGCAAACACTGCGGGGGTATTGATAGCTGATGATTATGCTTCTAAAAAAATCTTACGCTTCACGATGTGCTGATCTTGATAAGTCGATTTTTTTTTTGAAAAAAAAAAAAAAAAAAAAAAAAAAACGCCCTGAGGGACCGGGATAAAGGGCGTCGATATTTTTAAATGCTTCTAACGCGTGGTTTATGAAAAGTACATAAGAATATTATTGTGGTAAATATAAAATTGCCTCTCTTAGCATGAGACTGCGTTTCAAGCATTTACATGAAGGGAGATAAAACCGTTATATTCCGTTACGATAATGTGACCCAGTAGTACCGCCATGCTTTCTCACCTCAGTGTCAGTTGGCAATGAGTAAAAAGAAGTATAGCTGTGCCGACAACCTCCCCAATTACTGCCTTCCACATGGCTGGCGTTTTCACCTCCTTGAATCCCCATGTGTAGCGAGGAAGTTCCTGAATCCCCATGTTGGCTACCCAGTGCCTACAACAACGATACTTTGGATACTATTTTACCGACTCTACACCTCGTCAAGCCAGCGCTTCCCCCTTATCTGCTTGAACTCTAGTGGAGGCGGATGAGCAGTGACTTCTTCTTTATATAGTCCTGAAGTCGTGAGTGGTGTTCCTACATTAACGGCGGCGTGTGTCTTACGTCATAGACGTGGTGGTGACAAGTAGTGGTCAGTCGTGCCATCCCCCCGAGGCTATCTTGGGCTGGGCGGGACCTTCTTTTTTTTTCCAAATTGATGCAGCGTGCGGAAAGTACGTTCAACAAGAAGACAGAAAATGATTGTTGAAATAATCATTCCACAGACAGTTTTTATCTAAATATTTTCTTACTGTTTAATTTTGTGCTGTACTCAAGAGCCTTCCCCAGGACAAACTGGTCTACTAATATTACCAGACAAATTACCCTTTTTAAGAACGTACGAGAAGAAAACAGAATATATTTGTCTGCTTTGATTATTAGATGAATCTGTAGGGGTAAACTGAATATAGTAGGATAGGATAAACAATCTTATCTCTCTAAAACATTAGTGCATGTACATAAGTATATGAGTGTCTTAGGTTTTTATGAAACATGCCCCAAGCCCTTATTATCTTAAAGCAGCCAACAAAAAATTATGCTGACGTAAAAAATGTGAAAATGTGAAACCAGGTTCTGGAAGTTTTCATGTCATGTTGACCCGGTCATCTGATGTCACGCTGACCCGTATACAGCTCTTCTAAAAATTTATAGACGAAGCAATGTTATAACAGGATAACCATTGTTTGAGTAGTTTAACCGCAGTGAAATAAAGCTACAATCAAGGTGATAATAAGAGCACTGTATCGACGTTAAGTTTTCTGTTTTTTACTAACAGCAAATAGGTCTCTTTTTTTACTAACAGCAAATAGGTATTGTATCAGAAATTCTGAAGATGAAAATATTTACAGTGATTTCCCCAGATGTAAACTACGCAGGCCAGTTTTTGCCAGTGTGTACTTACTGGATAGGGGAGAAAAGAAAAGAAGGGGGGGGGGGGTGAAAGAAGGAGGGGGTGACTGGTTGATCACAGTATTTATTATCATTATTTTAATATAAACATTTGTAGTACAACAGTATGACACCGCGAAGAAATAGAACGAGCTGGATGAGTAAAACATGTTCAATGATAACACAAATTGAAATATTAGAGGAAGAGTAAAACCAAAAACGAAAAGTAAATCACGAGAAATCCCTTTTAAAAATCAAGTCAAACCCTGTGTCCTGGTTTCATACATTTAAGAACGCCCCTCTCTTCATAGTTTTTGTTGAACATATTCCACACGAAAGCAAAGATTGTAAAAGGAAAAACGCATACGCTTGACCTTTGAGACAAACCTGTTTACCCACACGTTATTTGCTTTCGATCGTCTATCAGTAAATAAATTTGTTTGTTTTGTTGATCAATTTGTTCTTTGCTTTACTTGCCTAACTTATCTTTCTTCCCCTTTTTTCTGTTTACTTTTTATTCATGACCATTCATTCATTCATTTATCGGTCTATTCATTCTTTCTTAGTTTAAATGTAGGGTTCACAAAGTCAACAAGGGGAATAATAAGCAAGTAGATAACAGCAGACTATTGCACGTAGCAGTCTTGCGGTGGAGGTGATAATTTTGGTTGATGATTTACACGAGGGGCGTGACTTTCGGTGCATGGACACTTAATCGATTTCATCGAGCATAACCAAATGCCACTACATTTCCAAACTTAAGAAGCAAGTTGTCTTTGTTGATTATAAATCCAGCTTTGTTATCAGGTCCATAGCCGGGGGAGTGGGGGAGTTTTGGTCGGCAAGGGGTCCACTTTGCATCATGCAATGCATTTTTCGTTTGGCTTCATTTTTGCAGGATTCAACATGTTTTTATGCTACGTGGGGGTTATAACTCCCTTTCACAAGCTAGCTTGAAACTGCTTGGACCACAAGCGAGGTTGATCCGTTTAGTTGACACTCTACCATATTATCCTAATTGCGCTTTAACTGTCTTAAAATCCGTTTTTTTATGTCTAAGTATTTTTCAAATTAACGTATCTTTCACAATTCACAATCAAAAATTCCTCAAATGAAATTACCTTATGTTGATATTTCTTTCAAATATGTAAATAAAGACAAACGTTATGGGAAATTATATAGAGCTATTTTACTTGAGTTTTGTTTGATTAAAAATTTAACATCGAATTGAAGTGCAGGAAAACAGGAAATTATTCCTTTTATTTGAAAATTCGATTTACGGAAAGAAATGCCGAAGCAGACATTAATCTCTGACACCTAAGTTGAAGCAAACAGATCGGACTTCAGATTCAGAGCCTCGGGTATATTGGACTGTAAATTAATACACGTACATCCACTGTTTATTCAAATTATCACCTTAGAACAACAGAATCAAGCCAGAAAATGAGAAAGATTCCTAGTAACCAGGGAAGCGTTTCTAGTGTACACGTATTTTCATTCACGATTAATGCTACTGTTAGAAACGCTTCTCACAGTGACGATTATTCTGCGCCCTGTATACCCCCATCGCCATCACTTTCACGAACCTTTCCCCGTTATATAACAATTGCGTGCATTGTCCCGGCTGTCTTTAACGGTCTTTGCCTAAGGCCGAATGGTGTTGCGTTGAAATGCATAGCTGGCCATGCAGACGCAGTTAAGTATATGTTACAAGTGACACATGTCAAAGATGAACTCGGTACCAGCGCCAGTCAACAGGTGCAACAGCATTTGTGTGTGAAGTGACACAACGGCTGATACATTCACTCTCATTATTAATGATGACGCAATCAGAACATGAAAAATCATAATGTGTTAATATATTGTACTGTTAAGATAAATTATAATACCTTAGTGATATTATAATGTTAAAATGAAACGCAACCATAATACAACTGGCTGAGGTAAGCACTATTATAGGAATATATACTAGTATACTCAAATTTCAGATCAGTCATGACCCCCTAATTACAAATGTTGTAATTGCATATGGATACATGTTATAATAAATCACGTTTTAAAAAATGATATCATTATTTATATCAAGTAATTGATGTTGTGTAAACTTTATAAGTTCAAAAATACAGCGACTGTGAGCTTGCGATGCATTTTTGGGACACAAAGTATCAAATATTGTATGCGTTCGTATGCATTCTAATTTTATTAATCGAATTTTGATGGCTTTATTGATACTATGACGCATGGTCGGTATAACTGTAATGTTTAGTCATTCCCTCTTCTTACCGGGGCATGGGCGGTGGATCGACGTACAGATCACACCCTGTGTTTGATGAAAATCTCCACTTCAACTGGTTTGTGAGTGTCAAATTGGATTTTTATTAAAATTATTCACAGGCACTTGTTCTCGTCCCAACGTTTGGATTTCGCTATCATTTTTCTGTGTTCAATATGTATTTTCCTGTCAACCAGTTGGTGCTACTCGCCCTTCATAACGTCGCCCCATTTTCAACCTTGTGATGAGAGCGTAGCGTCTCTAATTATAAACTACTGTCAGTCTTTGCATGTTTTTGGAACAAAACAAATGTTTTTGCACCCATGTAGCGATTTCAAAATTGAGACACCCATAAGCCCCCTCGTCGCACCTGCCGACTTTCACAATTCCATACAGTTTTTTCTATTAACGCGGGTAGTCGTTGCGGCTTCCAATTTATACTTTTTTGACATATTGTTCATTGATTCACAGGTATTATTATTATTTCATAAAAACGGTACGTGTTTTGTAAGGAAGGCACGAAAACCTTTTCGCGTAACTTCGGTGCTCATACGGTAATATAAGGTCCAAAAGCCGGAGTTGAATTTTCGTATTTTATCTGAAGTTGTAACACTTATGTCTGTCTTCATTTGCTAGAAGCCCTTGTCTGTCGCAGATGTCCCTTATAGTTATTTCTTGTTTCAATTTCTGAATGCCCATTTTTGTTAAATGACGTCGCGTATTCTCCTCCAGATGCTGCGAATCCAACCGGAAAGTCACATTCTTAACGCGTTCGTGGTGATGGCTTTATCTTCATCGTACACGGGTGATTTCCGGAACCCATTACGAGATTTCAAAACTGCAGGGAGCGGTATAGCAGATGCCAACAAGGTACTTTCCGATCTCTGCCCGAAGGTGGGAGAGAATAACGGTCATAGGTTTCGAAATCTCAATGTAAAAAAAATTGATCCTTAGAAAACGTGCGGTTGCTGAGTATTGTGTTAAATAAGTTTCGCATTTTTGTACATCGATGTTGTAATGCAACATGCAACAAGATCTTCATACCGTTTCGAAGGATTTGTTCAGTAAATATATTTGAATATTAAATTTTAATCTGTATAATAACAACATATGCATGCTCAAGACCGTACGATAACATCGTACATGTACGTAGACACCTTCAACATGGGTTTTTGTTGATTTCCACAACTCTCTTTCGAAATAATTTCCACTTTCTCATACATGACCGCAGTCACCATCGGACTTCTAGAAGAGAAAAATTTTGCAAGAATTTTTCATGACCCAGTCACTCGCATGTGGCTTGTTTGTTTACTTATGCGACAAGTCCTAAGTACACACGAATCGAAGGTGCAGTTAATCCATCATATCATACTCTGTCATTTCATTTTAACATGCCCTAAATATGGTAGACCGAGATTATTATATGATAGTTTCTACTCTGAAAAATGTTATCAAGATTGTTCGCCCACAGATTTTGAAAACTGTGGGTAAATTTTCTGACCAGAGGTACAAAAATTTATAAGGAAAAGTAAAGCGCAAATATACAGTGTATGCATGTGAGATTTTCGTTTATTTTTGTTTTCGTTATTATCTCTTTTGGTAATGAATGTCTTACATTTTTGCCGTAAAATTGATTCACGTTTCCAACGAAATTATAATAATTTCGATTTCTAATGATCTCTGATAAATGATATTTTAACCAGTATACTAGTGAAAAGAGTGTATCCAAAATATGAATACTACCTGGTACGTACCCTGTTTTAACAGGGGCTTCCAAAATAGTATACAAAATTAAAGTATAATTTTGTAACAGACTACTAGCGCACCCTGTAGTCAAAGAATACTC